ATGGATTTTGTTTAGAGATTTTTGAGAAGTCATCTTGTATTCTCAAGAATCCATTTTTGAAAATACATAATTTTTGTTTAAATATATATTTAATTATAAGCTCTTAATAACGTTTAATTTTAATTTAAATAAAATAAATACATTTAATATTAAAATAAATAATGCTAAAATAAATAAATTTGATGTTCTAGGATCTCCAAACATCTCTACTAATTTTTTCGAGGTATAGCTTAATTCTGACAATAAGGATCTCTAATCTTTAAGCCACCAGTATCCTGATGGCTAAAAAATACGGATGGTCGAAAAATTAGAGGTCTTTACTGTCATATTTGTTAGTTTGTTGATGACATTGTGAAAGTCAATGTTCTATAAAATGTTCGAGCTTAGACCAACATAAATACACACACATAAGTCATTGACGTGCCCATTCTTACTTGATCATACGTATAAATGGAAGAGACATATTAGTTCTCAAGCATGCATAAGCATAAATGTGCTTTTGTCTTGAGACCAAAAACTCAAAAACACATTTTTATCTATACAAAACCAAAAAAAATCATAAAATACTGTTCTTGATTTTCTAAAGGTTCAAGAAAAAGAACAAGTTTATGCCATGCATGTTGAGAATGTTGATTTTAGTTTCATTTACATACATGATCAAGTAAATAAATTTATAAGCGCATGCTTAAGGTTTTCAATTATTAAAAGTGAAATCGAAGTTCTCAAAAATAGATATCCAAGAAGACTTAAAGCTTCTTGGATATTCATTTTCGAAAAGATTCAAAATTTTTTAAAAATGAATATTCAAGAAGTTTGAGTCTTTTTGAAAATGAATATCCAAAAATCTTTAAAGCTTCTAGGATATGGATATTCAAGAATCCTTAAAACTTATCGAATATCCATTTTTAAGAAACCTTAAAGCTTATCGAATATTCATTTTTAAAAAATTCAATTTTAGAAAATAAAGAGAGAAAAATGATAGGAATGAAAAATAAAAAGAGAGGGGTGACGGTGTATTTAGTAGAAATAAAAAATTAAGTTTTGAATTTGGTGTGTATTTAGAAATTGAGTGTATAAAATAGAAAATGGGGTGTAAATAGAATTTTTAGTTTTTTTATCGTAGGTTTCAACTTTTTTTAAAACAATTTTTATAAAGACATGTAAGCCACATTTTTCTTTTTGTTTTTAAGGTGTGGACTTTTTTTTCAATCATTTTTTTTTGTTTTTTTAATTGGGGGGCTCACATGATTTTTTAAAAAAATTCTTTTAAAAGATGTGGGACTCATTTTTTTAAAAAATTTATCTTCTGTTTTTTTTTTTTGAATTTTTTATTATATTTAATATTTTAAAAAATTTTCGTGAGACTCACTTATGCCAATTTTTTTCTACCCTTTTTAACTTTTTAAACAAAATTTATCTTTTTCATTTTAATTTTATTTTCATAATATGAATTTTTGATAAAAACTTATCGTAATTGACGTCACATGCAAAATAAATTTCTTTAGAAATGATTATAATGTCCTTTTAATTACTTCACTATTGAGTTACATGCATTCAAATTAATTGTGATGCATCTTTTTCTATGATTAACTAAATCTACAACCATTATTACGAAAATACTCTCTTACCAAGATTTGCCAAAATGACTATAATACCTCTCCTACTATATTTATGAAAATTCTCATATTATTGTCAAAAATACTATAATACCTTCTAACCATAATTACAAAAATATTATTTTATCATAATTACGAAAATACCTATTATATTTTAATGAGTTAGAATTACTATAATACCCACTAACTATAATTACAAAAAAACCCATTTTGATTGCTCCATATAATGCCTCTCCAATCATAATTACAAAAATACCAATCATATTATAATTAATCAAAATTACTATAATACCCTTTAAGCATAAGTATGAAAATACCTTTTGATTGTTTCATAATTATGCATTAAATTTTAACATTCGTATAATAATATAAAATTAATCCTCTTAAAAATAATTATAATGCTTTTTAATTACTTGACAATTGAATTACATGTATTGAAATTCATTATAATGCCCTTTTTCTATAATTAACTAAAATAACTATAATATCCCTCTTAATATAATTACTAAAATCCCCCTTTTATTATAATTGCCAATATTACTCTAATGGCCCTACATCCATAATTACATAAATGCATTCCTACCATAATTACAAAAATACCTCTCATATAATTTGCCAAAATTACTATAATATCATCTAACCATAAGTATAAAAATGCCCTTTTATTATAATTACAAAAATAACACTTATATTATAATTGACTAAAATTACTATAATATCTTTTACCATAATTACAAAATACCCTTTTGATTGCTTTATTAATGCTTTTCCTACCATAATTACCAAAATACCACTGATATTAAAATTTGCCAAAATTAATATAATTACGAAAATGCCTTCTTAATATAATTATGAAAATACTAATATTATAATTGGTTAAAATTATTATAATACCTTTTGCCATAATTACAAAAAAAAAAAAAGAAAAACCCTTTTGGTTGCTTCATATAATGATTCTCTTACCATAATTATGAAAATACCCCTTATATTATAATTGATCAAATTACTATAATATCCTCTAAGTATAATTATGAAAATATCATTTTTATTATTTCATAGTTATGCATTAAATTTTACATCCTGCAATAATATGAAATTAATCCTTTTTAAAATAATCATAATACCCTTTTAATCACTTAATTATTAAATTACATGCATCCAAATTGACTGTAACGCTCTTTTCTTATGATTAACTAAAATTATTATAATGCTCCTCTCAACATATTTACTAAGATACCCCTCTTATCATAATTGGCTAAAGTTAATATAATATCCCAACAATCATAATTACGAAAATGACCTCCTACTATCATTTACCCAAATTATTATAGTGTCTTTTTTATCATAATTACGAAAATACTCTTTATATTATAATTTACCAAAGTTACTATGAAGCCTTCTTACCATAATTATAAAAATATCATTTTTATTGTTTTATAATTACATGTTAAATTTGAATATACATATAATTATATGAAAGTAATCTCATTGGAAATGATCATAATGCTTTTCTAATTATGTGACATTTGAATGATATACATCCAAATTGACTATAATACCCCTCATATAATTAACTAAAATTATTATAATTCCCCTCCTAACATAATTACTAAAATACATCTTTTACCATAATCAGTCAAAGTTATTACAATGCTTTGCAATCATAATTACAGAAATGCCCTTCTATACTATTGGTCAAAATTACTATAATACCCCTCCTATCAAATTAAAATTATTGATTTTTTTCTTTAAAAATTTAAGTTGAACGGGAGAGATATTAGTAGGCTTTGATTCCATGAATAAACGGGTTTGAATTTGATAATTGATCAATGTTGATAATAGATAAATATTTAATTGGTAGGTTAGATTTTCATGTATATATTATTGGGTTTTGATTTAATTTATATAATTTTTTTAAAGTAATCTTTTTTATTTAAAATAAAAATTGATATCTGACAATTACAATTGAATGATACAGTTCGAGTATCATTTTTTTATTTTTTTCAAAAGATAAAAATAAAAAAAAACCAATAAAATACTAAAAAATATTTATTTTTAATTATTAAATAAATTTTGTATAATTTATATTTCATTAAAATAAAAAAATTTGTAACGGGGCGTAGTAGGGTAGTTTTTCTAGTTAATGTAAACTAAACTCATTAGTGCATTTTGTCAGGCAGGAAATTTGAAAAAGGCCCCAGCTGTTGTTTGATATTATGATTGAGAAAGGGCTAACACCCGATCTAGTTATCTACATAATAATGATAAGTGGCTACTGTAAAGTGAAATTTTTTGCAGGAAGCCTTGGATCTTTTCAACATTATGAAGGAGAGAGGGATTAAACCTGGTTTTATCAGTTACGCGGTCTTGCTTAACAGCCATGCAAATATAAATTTGAGGTCGCTTTCTAGTCCTGATGTGACACAAAACAAAGACAAGACGATAATGGATGCTTCAATTTTATGGAAAGAAATTGAAGCACCTGGGGGTAGAACCTGATGTTGTTTGCTATACTGTTTTGATTGATCAGTAGGGCAAACAACCTTCGGGATACAATTAGGATGTTTGATGAAATGATTGATACAGGATTGAAGCCTGATAATGTGACATATACAGCTCTTATATATGGCTATTGTAAAAGAGGATATGCAGAGAAGGCTGTAATCCTTGTCAACGAAACGTCAAGTGGGGCATACAGCCAGACACCTGTATCATGTCAGCTTTGCACCATGGTATATTGAAAGGATTAAACTTTTACAAACCCCTTAAAATAAATATACAAAAAAAATAATTTTCACAAGATTTTCCAAAGAGCAGCAGCACGTTCAGTTCTGAGTGAACTTGGAATTGATCCAACCCAAAGAGACGGTTTTTCAGTTTCTGACGCATCTCCAGCAGTATCTTTGGGTGGTTATTTTCTTTTTCTGCATTGCTCTTTTCTCAAACTCTGGGTTCAACAAGTGCTGATCCTTTCATCAGATCTAGCAGTCCATTGCAGGACCAGAGATCCTTATTCTGGTATGTCAATTTCACCCGTATCAAGTCCATTGGCAACAGGAGAAGGGGATTTGTTTTTGACCAAAACCAAGTTGAAACTCATAAAACAGGGAGGAAGCCAGTCACCCACATCTCGTCGAACAAACTGACAGGATAGTGGTAGTAGGCCTATCTTATAGTCTTTTAAATCATGTTATAAATCAATCACATTGTTCATGTAATAGATAATAACCAAATGTTATGGAAGCATTTATGAATTCAATTGGATTAATTGACATTTTATTATTTTAATTATGTTATATGTGGTGTTATTTTATCAGTATTTTCTTTCCTCAATCGCCCACTGCCCGCTCGCTGCATGTTCTGTTTGGTTGCTAAATCACCATGAGTTTTTGCAACAATCACCGCTGGAAGTATTTATTGTGTACAAGGTCAATAGATATTACGCAACAAGCGGTAGGCATAGGCAGTAGGCAATAGGTAATAGCAGCCCAAGTTGGGTGACATTTCAAGCTTACAGCTTCTAACACTAGAATCTCTACTCTCACCTTATTAAAAGGGCAAAAGGGGTTAACGGAAATGAAGATGCTGCCTCACTTTGACGACATGATAATGTTATGCTAAAACAACCATGCTGTGATTTAGAAAGTAAATTCCAATAATTAGCGTTCATCTTTCTATAACTCATGAAGTACCATTCAAACATAGAAAAACGCAAATTATCTTAAACTATTTCACACAAAATTGTCATATAGAGCATTCCCTTTATACTTCTCTCCACATAAAGCAAATATCGACCAAAGCATAGCTGAGAAGAAGCCCATTTAAAACATTAACGTCAAACTATACCCAAAAACTCGAACCATCGGATATTACAAATTCCTTCAAGCAGCTTGTTTTGTTGACTCCATAAGCTTTATGAATTCTCTAAAAGCTGTACCAAGAAATAACTTGATTTGAGCAAGAGAAATCATTTTAACAAACATAGAAATCTGCAATCTGTCAAAATTAGGCATAGGAAAGAAATTTTTACCTAAATCTGAATCATGAGGTCCTGGCGATGCTTCAGGATGGTATTGAAGAGACATAATATTTAACGCAGGATAAGCTAGACCAGCGCAGCTTCCATCATTAAGATTAACATGAGTCACTTCTACACCCTCAGGGAGTGATGCAGGATCAACTGCATAGTTGTGATTCTGCCAATCATAAATTCTAAGGTGAAAACACAACCCCAAAGAAATATTGCAACTTCAAACACATGGAAGCTGAATACTTAGCAGAAATATATCCAAACTTATAAATACTCCACAACATTGTCAAAAAATATATTGATTAGATCTGCAATATTCAATGAATATATCAATTTTTTTTTTTAATTTCTTTTGCGTGTGTGTGTGTTTTGTTAAGTGTGGGGGTTAAGTGGGGTTGATCATCCTAGGGGTGTAATCGAGCCAAATCAAGACAATACAGTGAAAAACTCGAGCTTGAGCTCGACTCCTAACTCGCGACTCAATACTCAGCTTGAACATAATCGAGTTTCATTTTCCTAGCTTGAGCTTAATTTACGATTGAAATCAAACTACTCGAACTCACTTGATTAAGCTCGATTAATATATAAAAATAAACTCGATTCTTATACTTGACAAAAGTTCGATTCTCAAGATCGAGATCTTTTATAACTATTTTTTATCAAACCTAATAAAAAATGCTTTAAATAATCCCCTGTCATTTTTTTTTAGTTTATTCAAGACATTTTTTTGCCTTGAATAATTCCTTACAAAAAATTGAATGGGGTTATTAAATGTATTTTTAGCCAAAAACCCCTTGAATAATCATCTTCAATTTTTATAAGAGGATTATTTAAGATGTTTTTAGCCAAAAACGCATTGAATAATCTCATTTAATTTTTTATTGCGAGTTATTCAAAGCGTTTCTAGCAAAAAATGCCTTTAATAATTTCCTTCAATTTTTATGAGAAGATTATTTAAAGTGTTTTTGACAAAAAATGCATTGAATAATCTCATCAAATTTTTTAGAAGGGATTATATATATTTTTTGGGATTATTCAAGATGTTTTTGGCCAAAAATACCTTAAATAATCCCTTACAAAAAATTGAATGAGGTTATTCAAGACATTTCTGGCCAAAAACGCTTTGAATAATCCCCTTCAATTATTATGAAAAGATTATTCAAGGCGTTTTTAGCAAAACATGTCTTGAATAATCTCCTCTAATTTTTTATTAGGGATTATTCAAGAAATTTTTGCTCAGAAAATACCTAAGCAAAAACACCTTGAATAATCTCTTATAAAAAATTGAATGGGAATATTTAAAGAAAAAAGAAAAGGGATTATTCAAGGCGTTTTTTGCCATAATCCCCAATAAAAAATTGAATGGGAATATTTCTCAAAAAAAAAAAAGGATTATTTAATATATATTTTTTATAAAAACCACCTTGAATAATCCCTTGCAATTTTTTATTAAGGATTATTCAAGGCATTTTTACTCAAAATACACCTTGAATAATCCATTATAAAAAATTTAATGAAAATATTCTAAAAAAAAAAAGAGAGGATTATTCAAGACGTTTTAGGCCCAAAACACCTTGAATAATTCCCTCATAAAAATTGAAAGGGATTATTTAAGTCCTTTTCTTGCAAAAAACGTATAGAATAATCCCTTACAAAAATTTAAAGGGGGATTATTCAAGGTGTTTTATGCTAAAAACGCCTTAAATAACTCTCTTCAATTTTTGTAAGAGATTATTCATTTTTGATCAAAAAACACCTTGAATAACCCCATTCAAATATATATAATAGAAAAACTTAATTAGATTTGCGAGCTATTCAAACCGAGTACTAATATGCTCGAACTAGACTCATTCGATAAGTCGAGCTACTCGAGCTTTAGCTCGGCTCGATAATTATCGAATCAAATTCAAATTTTAAACGAATCGAATCCGAGTAGCTTGCGAGTACTAATGTATTATTTACACCTTTAGGTCATCCCATCGTAAAATCTAAATCCATGCTAACAACACTATACTTGCATACAAGGGATGTATCGGTTAGCGAATTATTCAATGGAAACACATTGGCTACTTAAACACACCTGAGCACTAATCTCAACATGACCATTGCAAAGATTGCGAACAGGATGATTTCCTCCATGGTGACCAAACTTCATCTTAAAGGTTTTACCACCCAAAGCCTGCCCAAGTAACTGATGGCCCATGCAAACTCCAAAAACAGGAACTTTTCCCAGAATTTCCTTGACTGTTTCAACAGCATAAGGAACAGCAGATGGATCTCCTGGACCATTGCTTAAAAGAACTCCATCTGGCTTCAGCTTAAGGGTTTCAGCTGCTGGCCAAGTGGACGGCACAACAGTGATTTTACAGCCATAAGATGCTAAACGTCGAAGTATATTATGCTTGATCCCAAAATCATACGCAACAACCTTCAATTTAAAAGAAATGGAGAAATGTAAGAGCAGACACAAAGCAAAGATCTAAAAGCACCAACATAAACTTTCAAAAATATTTCTAACTGTGTAAGTCTCTTGATCTCTTCCATTAGAGTTGAACTCCCATTCTGATTTTGTTTTATCAACCCACTCATAAGGGGCATTGCAGGTAACGCCACTTATTAAATCAACACCTGCAAAATAAAGACAAGAATAATAGAGATACAGTTAATCTTAAACTTTTAAAAATACTCGTAACTTTCAAATAAGATCCAACTATTCTTACCTACAATGTCCCATGAACGTGACATCTTCAAAAGTTCTTCATCACTTCTAGATTGTTCTGTGCTCAAAACTCCAATAAGACTTCCATCTTGCCTCAATCTGCGGGTGATTGCACGTGTGTCAACATCATCTGCCATTATAGGAAAGCATCAAGATACAAAGGAGGTCAGAAGCTATGCCCAGAGAACAAACAAATTTTTTATGAGCATGTTTTCTAAAGTTAAGCAGTCTACTAACTAGATATCCAGTGCCATATATACAACTTACAAATTCCCATAATATTTCTTTCTGCTAAATAATAACTAAGTGTTTCTGCACATCTCCAATTCGAAGTCTGCAAAACATTTAATTAAAATTTGATAAATAAATGAGGAAACCTTTTGTTCCAAAGCTGTAAATTGCATATCTAAGATGTTAAAAGAGGAAATTTACGAAATACTTAGACTTCTGATCACCAGACCAGCAAGAAAGCACTGCCTTGATTCTTCATCATCTGATGGGGTAGGCATCAACATCAGATCATATATAGTTTTCAACAAGTCAGCATTGAAATGATCAAAAGATAAATTTCACTTACCAAAATTTACTCCGGTATTGCCAATATGTGGATTGGTCATCAGGACAAACTGACCAGCATAACTAGGGTCTGTTAAAATTTCCTGATAACTGCACAACAATTGTATTTTGGCCATGAATTAGACTATGAATACAGAAACTTCTTTTTCCAAAGTCATAACAGGGAAGAAAGTCTACAAATACACTGCAAAAGAAATAATAAGAGCAAAAACGATCTTTTGAAGGCCAGCCCAAATAAAAACAACAGTGAATTAAAACAAGTCTGTAACTTCAATGATTCAATTATTATGCAAACTCTATATAATCTTACTGAAAATAACTTCAAATTCAAAATTTTACTAAAACTTTAGATTTATCCAACCTCACCTTATTTCGGGCAATCCATTGTTCAATACCCCACATTACGCATCAGTAAAAATTTCTTTAATTTAGTTAAAATTCTAAAGAGAAACAGAAATCCAGAATACTATATCATCTTACCCTGTTAAAGAAGTGTTAAAAACCACCTCGCCGACTTGGGTTCCAGAGGCACCAAAAGATTTAGCCCTCCAAATAGAACCATCTTCAAGAGCCAGCCTAGCATCCGCTACCTTCCATGGCCTCTCCGCCAATCCTTAAACCACCCATCACCAAAGATATTTCCACATTATTTCAAAACTATATAGGAAAAAAGAAAGACAAAATTTGGAAGGAAAAAGTGAAAAAGAGTTTACCAGTGGCGGCACCGTCAGAGGAGAGAGGGAGGGAGCACCTGACAGTGATAAATCGAAGTTTGGAGGAAGGTTTTGGCGGGTTTCGGGAAAAGCAAAAAGATGGTTTGTAACTGAGTGAAAAATCCATTGCTTTGATGCCCATTTTCTTTCTCTGGAAGTGGTTTTTGTATTTTGTAGTTAGGGTTTTATTGTGAGTCCGAGTTACAAAGCTAACAACAATAAAGGTTTGTCTTTTGGATTTCGGCTAAACAACAACTAAACAATTGCTGCTCTGAGACGTGTAGGCTGCCCTTTGCTCATTTGCAAAAGATTCTTGTGGGTTTCTGGACATAGCTAAAGCTGGGTATTTTGGGAAATCCAAGGTCAAGGCGTTTGGGCTATCATCAACCTCTTTCCTTCTTTTCATACGAGTAGGGTTGTACAAGGTCGGGCCGACTTAGGTTAAATCCGGTTAATATTTTTAGGGATTTATTCAAGTTCGGCTTACTTCAAGAAAATTAATTTAGGTCTATTGTTATTATTATTTAAAATATTAAAATCATTGCACATAAATCCCTCATGTAATCAAATTAAACTTTAATAAATCAAATAAAAAGTAATTAAATTTTAAAACCATTATGAAAATTATTTAAAATAGTTATCCAATTTTTTTAAAAGATAAAAATTTCTATTTTTCTTTTAACATATTGGCCATATCAAGAATAAAATGAAAATGAAAATGAAAATATTTTACAAAATTAAATGGGTCCTAAAAATCCACTATAGCAATTAAATGGTACATGGGCCACAGGTGGGTTCAGGTTCGGGACTCCAACTAGGTTTAATCAACTTCCCCGAAGACCATTTCTGATAAAACCCGAAAGCACAGTTGTTTGATACAAAGCAAAGGCATTTTTCAATTTCTGTGATAAACCCTTAAACCCCAGAAACACCATGATCCGAATCGCGAGAAACCCAAGGCCTCTAACAACTCTGAGTAACCAACTCCTCCAACGCTTCAACGTCAGCGGAACCGCGAAAGGCAAGTCCAAACTCAAAGCCGGCCAACCTTTAAAACGCTCCAAAATCTCCACTAAAAAAGGCAAGGGCGGTGCTCCTATCGACGATTCCCTCCCAAAAGGCGGCCGTATCCCCGACGAAAGGCAAAGACTTTACGAACAGTGCCTCAATGCACCCACGCCGGTCCGTCATCTCTCCCCAAAAGAGCGAGCTCGTGAATCCGAACGGGAAAAATTGGGATTAATTAGCAAAGAAAGGCAACGAGAAAGGGAGATTTTGAAGAAAGGAGGAAGACAAGCAATGGGGGTTCCTGATGAGCCTATGATAATGGGAACACCTGGGCTGGATTTGATTACTCTGGGCCTTGTTGATGCTGATAAGATACCCAAGTACGATCTGACGGTGGAGGATGGACGGAGATTGGCTAAGGAGTATAGTCGAGTTTTAATGAGGAAGCATAGGGCAAGGCAGGCTGCTGAGACTAATTTGTTGAGAATGAAAAAGGAGGCGATTGAGGCATTGCCGGAGAAGCTTAAGGAGGCGGCTATGATACCCGATTTGACCCCATTTCCTGCAAATCGGTTTATGGCGACTTTGACTCCGCCTATCGAAGGGTATATTGAGAAGGTTAAGGAAGCGGCGAAGCAAAGTTCCGCCAAACAGAAGCTTAGGTGAAGTTTGGGTGAAGGTAATTTTTTTTCTGTTCAAAGTGTTTTAATTTTAAAACTGGGTTCTTGATGAATTGTTAGGTAGGTGTTTTAGAATAAAGCTGTTTTTGTTATTAAAATTTCTATTTTTGACCGAATGTATATGCAACTTTTTGTTTTTTTTTTTTTTTTTTGCGGGGGTCGAATCTAATTCAGTTAAAAACCAAATATGAGTTTAGTTTTGTTGGTTTGATATCAGTTTGGCATCACTTTGACGTTCTGAATTAGTTTATAGTTGAAATTCACCTTACTTAGAAACCATTTTTGGTTTGGAACAGAATGGCTGGAGTTTTTTTTGGCCAAAAGAATGCTTGGAGTTGGACACTTCTTTTTTCAATCTTGGTTAACTGATAACATTTAGCGCTCTTTTGATGGCGCTGAAATTGACTAATCTCTTAATTCCAGTTGGTTCATGCATGCAGTAATTCTTAAGTGATGACATCCAACAACTCTAGGATTCAAATCTTAATATCTGTAATTCTATCTTAAGTTGCAACCTTCTTTATACCAAAAAAAAGAAAATCGACTAATCTCTAGGCTTGAAATTGATTTGTTAAAGGCGGAAGTGATATGTCAGCCGATTGATTTTTATACTTGCTAGTGCTACCATTCAAAACTCAAGTTTGTGAAAGAAAGGGCCTGCTTGTGTGACATCCCAAGGCTAGAAGGATGCTATTTGTGACTGATTTTGACAAAAGATGTTCCATTACTTGATGGCTTTGTTTGAAACAGTCATTTTGACAATGTTCATTAGGACGTAGGACATGATTTTACTTGAAAAATTCCATTGTTGGATCACTAGTCCTTTAATTGCCAAAGACAACAATATTGGTGATCAACTTATGTTATACAAAAAGTGTTTCCTGCTCAGGCTGAGTTCTAATGAGGGCATCTTGTTCTTGGTCCTTAAAATCCACCATATTGGCATGTTAAAGTTTCATAGTATTGGCATCATTTTTATTGTTCAATCTGACTTCCAATTTGAGAAATTTTTGTACAAATCTTTCTTTTTAATATTTGTTGTGGATTAGACATCTAGTTTTATCTGATAGTAAGAATTTGTTGAATATGGTCCAGAATACAAACATCACACATTCATTTCTTATGCATAAAGTATTTAGGAGCAGTGATATTTTTTATTTTTACTTGATTCATTAATTGCTTGCTGGCAAGAACTTCCCGTGCTGCTCCTGTATCATTAACCTTTGCAATTCTGGCACCTTATTGCTATCCTTGTGGCTCTACAATTTGGAACTTTGATGGTTTTATACTATGAACTTGCTTGTTTTAGTGAATACTGTATATGTTTTTCTTATTCTAGAATCTTTTGTGGCTGCAGCAGGCAGGGATGATGCTCACTTATGAAACTGATGATCCATTATATAGCAGCAGTGTAGTGTGATTTTCTGGATGGAAGAGGGTTTGAAAATAGTTTGGTGAAAATTGATGAATGTCCTACTTTCTAGTTCAACATTGAAACTGCCTTCTTCATGGTTTGTTGTAACTGGTAATCCAAGCATAGTCAAGTTACAATGATGCTTTTTGATAATTGCATGCAATAATCTGATGGCTCAAATTGAAGTCTTTGTTATTGTTGTTGTTTTTTACTGGATTTCACCTTGGTTTTTTCCAGAATAGAAGCTTTAGAATTTTCTTGTGGAAGGCATGGGACTGGATTTGTATCATCAACTTCAACCTTGTTGAATGTTGATTGTGCTTGTGTGTATTTTTGGTTGTTACCTAGTTTTACTTTTTTTTTTTTTTCTAATTTTAGCAATATCAAATCATCTTGAATTGTTCATAGTCAATTAAAGTAATTTTAAGTTACAAATGATAAAATTATTTTAATAATAAGATTATTTCTAGGATTAAATTAATACAATGATTTTAAAAATAATATAAAAAAATAAATTTGAAAAATGATGAAATTTAGACACGTGCCTTGCACGAGCCGCCTAAATTACTAACTTCCCTCGTCTTGTTGGGTATTGTTGGTTCTTATCAACTTTCAGTAGGGGAGTGCTGCACCAAGCTTCACCAATTAACGCTCGACGCAGCAAAGGGCCACATAATTGCACTTTCTAAGTTCAAAACCGGTAACTTGTTTATCACAAGTTTAATGAGACAAAATCAATGCTTTACACTTTATGGCTTTTCAAACATGTTAGCCCAAACTCCACGTAGCATTCGAAAAGAAAATAATAATATCATATTTCATTTTTTTATAGTTGTGGTGCATTTGTTTTTACTATATATTTGTTTTTATTTTTTGAAAAATAAATAATAAAATGCATAATCGGATATAAATAAATCAATATTTTTTAAGATTTGTAAATAAATATTTAATTTATTTAGTTAATAAAATGGTGACCGTGCTTTTATTAATTATTACTTGCATTTTAAATCAATGTTACATTTTAATTAGTTATAATTTTACTTTTTATATCTTTCAGTTCAAAATGACTTTTGAAGAGCAAAAAAATCAGAATTTTATACTTTTTGTTCTATTTTATATTCATATATATATTTTTTATTTAAACACAATTTTTTACTTATTTAATTAACTCATTTATATAGGCAAGAGCGGAGTTCAAATAAAAAAACATTTGAAATCATGTGTGCTTAAAAAAAGTCCAAATAGTTTTCTTTTTTTTTTTTCATTTAGTTTACTTCTTGTTGAGATTAATATTAATTTTACAAGTTGCCGGTATAACAACAAAGAGCATTTTCAACAAATAACATCTTGAGAATTTATTTACGTAATCCAATGTAGAATCAATGACTGAATGCTAACTTAAATTGTATATATTAAAAAAAACATGTTCAAAAATATTAATAACAACACAGTACAACGTTTACAAAATATAAAAACATAACAAAAATAATTGTAAAATTTTTAATAATTATAACGGATATGAAAATTTTAATTTTTTATTACTATTATCATTATTATCATTATTGTTATTTTTTATAAGTTAATATATTCGAATTAATTTCCACTATATAAAATTTTTGGCTCACCAGTGTATATAAATGCATGTATATTTTTACCTACAATGTAAATCTTGATGATCTACATCAACTCGAAATTGTGGTACACTTGATGATATAAAAAATTGTTTCCCAGTAATAAATAAATTTAATGCATGTTTACTGATGATTTTATTAAATAAAAATAATAATATGTAAATATGATTTTAATAGGGAAAATAACAAACACCAAATTTCCTTTGATATTTTTTAAAATATCATACTTTCTTTTAATAAAATTTAACTATAAAAAAATTTAGATTTAAAAGAATTTTTGAGCAAATATAAAAAAAAAAGTGAAAAGTAGTATAAAACAATTTCAATTTAATAAAAGAATTCTAAAAGGTATTAGGGTAAAAACACGTTCAAGAGTTTATATATTATATAATATTTATGGCAAAAAAGGTTATTTTGATTAAAATACTAACACAGCATGAATGGGAATTTTGTCTCATAAAATCTTTATTTTTTAATTTATTATCTCATAAAATCATTGGTAAAAAATGCCAACACCAACTCCCTCTTACTTTTATTTGATTTAACCCTCTTACTTTCATCTTTACCGTATGGGAACAAGTTACCGGTTTTAAACTTAAAAAATGTGATTACGTGGCCTCGACTGTTGGACGGCGATAAGATGTTAAGGTATTGGAAGGTACAGTCTTTTTCATTTTCAATCTTAAATTTTTATATTATATTTATTTTTATATTCTTATTTAATGAGTATTTTAAACTCATTTTTATTTTCATTTTCATAAATTTTTAATAGAAATAAATAATTATTATACCCATAATTTTAAAAAATAATAAAAACCAAAATTTTTTTTTAATTTTTATCTTATATATTTATGTAATTTTTTATAAATAATTATTAATTTTTTTAATAAAAATATATTAATTTTAATTATTTTAATAAAAATTTATTTATTAAATATATAAAAAATAAATATATAAGTATTGATACAATACGAGTGTTATAGTACTCAACTTTATTTTTATACCTAATAAAAATTTTAAATCATATTTATCTAAATTTTATTTTCATATTCATAATGTAATATTTATTTGAGTTAAAAATTAAATTTTTCATTGGATATGAATAAAATTAATATTTTTAATAGTCAAATCTAGTTGGTGTTACCCTTAGCATCTTTTTTTTTTTCAATAGGGATGTGCAAATTTTAGTTTTAATCAAATTAATCAACTAAATTGATTTAATTTGATTAACTAATCAATTAATAAATTAAATCGGTTGGATTTTTTAAAATAATTTTGAACAAAATTTAATTTTCAATTAATTTGATTTAAAAATTAAATTAATTGAGTTGATTAAATAATTAACTAAAATTTTGGTATGTCATTCAAGTAAAAAATATGTTTTCAAACTCCACAATAAATTTTATAATATCCTACATCAAAATAAACTTGAATTTTGTAGCACTTTACAATCCAAGTGATGAAAACATATCCAAAGAGATCGTTGTAATTTTCTTTTACAACTTGTGTGTGACCTTTATATCTCTACCAATAAGCTTACTAGCAGAGCCAAACTTAGAGCTCTTGGAGATTAAGTCTAACACCTAGTATAGCAATTGTAGGAGATTACCGATACACTCGGTAATAATAGTAATTAATTGCAATTGTTTAACTACATAATTTGTAGTATCTAAATGTAATTTTTTTAATCAGTATGATATAATCTAAATGGTTTGAATATTCCAAGAGCAATAACAAAAAAAAAAAAAAAAAACTGAAATTTACCCGAATCAATTAAAATTAATTCAATCGATTAATTTTTAAAAATAAAAATTTCAGGTTAATGAAACAAAAATAAAATATTTTGATTAATTTAATTTTTAAATAATTGGATTCCATTTATTTATAGGTTTAACTCTCATTCTCTGTCGCTAGAACTTAAACCCTCTCAGAATACACCTCTCTCCTTTTCAACACCCCAATCGGAGAAAAAAAAAATGGCTCGAAACGAAGAGAAAGCCCAGTCCATGCTCAATCGATTCATAGCCCTAAAAGCCGAGGAAAAGAAGAAACCCAAAGAACGCCGTCCTTTCCTCGCATCCGAATGCCGCGACCTTGCCGAGGCCGACAAATGGCGTCAACAAATCATGCGAGAGATCGGCCGCAAAGTCGCCGAGATTCAAAACGAAGGCCTTGGAGAACACCGCCTCCGCGATCTTAATGACGAGATTAACAAGCTCATCCGCGAGAAGTCACATTGGGAACGCCGTATCGTTGAACTTGGCGGCCCGAATTACGCCAAACACGGCGCTAAAATGACGGATTTAGAAGGGAATATAGTTGATGTTCCGAATCCTAGCGGACGTGGGCCTGGATATCGGTATTTTGGAGCGGCGAAGAAGTTGCCGGGGGTTAGAGAATTGTTTGAGAAGCCGCCGGAGTTGCGAAAGAGGAGAACTAGATATGATATTTACAAGAGGATTGATGCGAGTTATTATGGGTATAGGGATGAAGAGGATGGGGTTTTGGAGAGAGTGGAGGGGCCAGCGGAGGCAAAGATAAGGGCTGAAGCTGAGGAGGAATGGAGGAGAGTAGAGGAGATTAGGAGAGAGGCAAGGAGAGGGGCGAAGGAAGTGGTTAGTGTGGGGGCTGTGGCGAGGGAAGTGTTGTTTGAGGAAGAGGAGGATGTGGTGGAGGAGGAGAGGAGGGAGAGAGAGGAGAAGGAGAGAAAAGATAAGGAGAGGGAGTTTGTCGTGCACGTGCCTTTACCTGATGAGAAGGAGATTGAGAGGATGGTTGTGGAGAAGAAGAAGATGGAGCTTTTGAGTAAGTATGCGAGTGAAGGGTTGTTGGAGGAGCAGACTGAAGCCAAGGATATGCTTAACATTCAGCACTAGAATAGCTGATGGTAATGTTGTATTTTTTTTACTTTAAATTTAGACTCTGATTACATAACATTTCTGTTTTGGTTAGATTGCCTTTATATTTATGTGGAATTTGAGTTTGAAGAATTACTTTTCCATATGCAACTTCGTGATTATGTGGAAAAGAGCTAGAAAATTGTTTATATTTGCAAATTGTGATAATGGCTTTCTTTGTTGGATGAAATAAGAGATTATAAGGGGAATGTTGATTAATCATTGATGTTGCTTTGAGTAACAGTCATTCGCACTAGTGTTGGATGTAAAACTGGAATTGTTGTGTCAGTAAAATGCTACTCAACATTGGCCTCTGAGTCTTTTGCATATTTATAACAGTTTACAGGCACTATAACAAGTTTTGCTGGGTTTAAAAGAGAGTCCATAGATAGTATAAATTCTGCTGATAGACAACATTTATGTGATCTGATGAAATATAAAGACAATTTTAGACCATTTAACCCATGCTGGCCTTCCAACATGTTTTATTCCTTAAACTTTAACTCCATTTTTGGAGTTGACTTTAAGTGAAAGATATATAACTTTTGAATGAACCTAATGTTTTAGGCTAGCATGATCTAGGGAATTCCAACACGGCAGTAGATTCTAATCTAACTGATAAGATCTTAATTAAAGGAAAAATAAGAAAAAAAAATCTCATGCTGGTGCTGTTCTGGTACATGAGTTGTTGTAGGTTTTCTAACCTGTTTAAGTACCTATACTTTGTGAAAATGTTGCATGCTTTCACTTTAACCATGGTATTAGTATGAGGGAAACCTTCCTAGAATTAGTGGAAAATGAATTAATCATTTTAATAGATAGAAAATTGGTGTCATTGCAGTTTATCATAGCATTTATTTTTTTATTAATGATGTTTGCTATCATACAGGAAAATGACATGCCACCTGTGATCTTTATCAACAAAGAGATGCCACCAACCTGTTACTTTAAAGATCTGTGCTGGTGATAAACATATAGTAGAAATTTATGTCTAAAACATAGATGCTATATTTTAGTAACTTTTGACTTAGCAGTTTTTATGAAGTAACTTTAGGATATCTGATCATGCATAGGGTTCTTTGAGTCAAGACTGTCTGATCTTAAATTGATCAAGGAAACTCCTAGGACAATATGCTGTAATAGTGTAACCAGTTGCTGCATTTAGTTGTTCTCTAGTTCTCATTCATATATCCTTTTTATCCTTTGAGAAAGCAATTTTTTCTTGAAACAAAATCTGGAGAGTAACATAACCATTTATAATCTTCATTATCATTTTCTTCTGCCCAAATTCTGTTTTTTTTTTTTTTTTTGGGTATACGACATGCCAAAATTATTCGAAATCATTTTCGAAGAGGTAGTAAATCAAATGTACTTTCTGCTTTGAAGCAGTCAAAAGTAGACAAATCAGTGCATTTATTCTGCTAAAACAATATGTAAGGGCTGTATTCTATATTTCTACCACTAGACCACTAGACCACTGCTGCTTCTTAAACACATCTGATATATGATGTTCAGGAATTTGTTTGCATGTATCAAATTGTGTTTGAAATTGCAATTTGGTGTGCGGCCTTTGCCTTTCTATTGACTGTTTGAAATTGGTTGAATCCAATATGTGGTCATTGTAAGCACTGATTTTTGCATATTTTCCTGGTTAGTGTTATTATTTCTCATTTAAGCTTGTGACCTAAATGGGTGTTAGGGCAGTGCATAGGTTGTGTGCATTTGTTTGGGTCGGGTGTGTGTGAAAGGGAAGGAAGTGAGATGAGATGTAGGTCTAATGTCTATCTCCAAGTCATTCTTATTATTCCATAACAAGAGGACTCTTCCTTCTGTCCCCATAAAGTTCCACTATTCCTTGATTTGGAAACCTAACTTTGAGCTGAGGATGAGAGCTATTATGAGCATGTTGAGAGCAGTGTCATAAAAGTTATTGTTGCGGAAAATGTTGCTGTTGAGGTCAACAGTCATTGAAAGAAGCCAACACATGCTTTCAGCCATGTGGTTTGCTGAGAGCTAAAGTTTGTTGAATGGAACTGGTTTTGCCTCCGAAATCTTACTTTTAGAGGGGTACACTTATGTACACATGCCAACAAAAGTTAGTTATATGAGATGCAAAATGCTTTACTTCTCGTTTGAAAACTTCCTAAAAAGTGAAGGAGGAAAATGTGGAACTGGTTTCAATTCGGCATTCTTGTTATCTTGGGGAAACCTGTTCTAGAGGAATACGCATAACGCTTCTTTCTATCAAAACAAAGACATATATATCTCGTTTAAGTTGCTGAATTCCATTCTGCTAGTTTCTATCTTGCTCGCAATTATTTGTCAATATCAATAGCAGAGTAAGTGAAAGGTATTTGAAATTCTAATTAATTAATTAAAGATAGAATTCATTGGTTTATCATAGTTGTGTTTCTGGCTTTCTGCAGTTATAGAAGAACGTTACGACAATGGTTTGCAAAAGTGAAGATTTTGTTCATTGCTTCATGCTTATGCATTAGTTTGATTAAAAGGTTTAATCTGGAGACAAAATCTTTGGGTGCTTCACAAAGTCACAAAAACCAAAACAAGACTTCTCCCACTTGGAATTTGCTTTACCAAAAATAGATATCTTCTGGAAATATTGGATTAGGCACAGCGCTTGTTGAATGAAATGAAATAGACATTCTCGCCGAAAATAGAAAGGTATTAGTTAGTTTCGTTTCTAAATCGAAACATAGGAATATAGGAAGAATACTATAAAATGTGCAATTTCAAAGTTAAAATTTGCAGTTAGTTGAAATCAGAGAAATCCTAGTAGCGTCATAGAATTACCATTGTTAAAAATACATAAAATAAGCTGCTTCAGCAGGAAAGTCTCACATTGAAGGAAAACAAGAAATAGCAAACCCGCCCTTTTCTTTAGAATAAATCACATTTCACCCATTCAAACTGTGGAGCCATATAGCGAGCACAACGTGAGCTATTCTTTCGCCTTTTACTAGAGAATACCGTGTGCTCACTGCTTAAAACGGCATACACCAATTTTTGGAGGGGCTATTCTACAAAGAATGCTTCCAAACAATTCTAGTTAAAATTTTTCTGACAATGGCAAAACATCAAACAATCGAAGTCGCAGAGATATCTATATTAATTTCTGCTGCTAATGCACTGCTGGTCCTTATATACAGCGACCTAGTTTTATGATTATCGATGTTTCTGAAGATTGATAACTATAATAAGAAATAAATTTACGAGTAACAAGCCACTGTTTGAAAATAGTTGTAGTTGATTAACTACCATGTTTGCCACTACTGGTGGATTATTTTGGCTTTGCTCTCTTTATTTGTGATCTCCAGGTTTTGCATTCTTTACTAGTGGAGTTATTTTTGGAACACCTGTGTTAAATATAAAAGGAAATGTTTCATGCAAACTTTATGATAAAGTTGTAAAATAAAGAATAATACGTTTCAAAGAATATATTACTCATAAAACTGATAATGTTACACCATGTCCTAACGTTACTCACATGTTATGCTTTTATAATTCTTTTGAAAATATTGTTGTTAATTTCTCAATAAAAATTATAAAATTACATAAGCATATGCAACTAATTTTCGCCCTTTTTCTTAACTATATTATTAATAGGAATAGTAAGAGAAAGTATGATGAAACTATTTCAAGAAAGCAAATAAAAAAAAGCCGACAACAAAAGGAGAAAAAATGAATTTTTATAACAATTAAGAGGGGAACATGATTATGAAGGATTTATTGATGAAGACACCTCTACCAGACAAGCCATGCGAGATAATATCCAATCACAATATGAGTGACATAGAAGACAAGAATTTAGACAAAAAACTAGTGGTTAGAATAACATATGAAGAGGGATGCAGCTCTCATAACTCAGTTGCTAAATATTTTGAAGAGAAAACAAGGAAATCAACTCCATATGAGTTTGAATTTTCATTAAAAAAAGTTATACTTGAATTGGTTAGAGTAAGAGTTCAAGGTAACTAAAAATAAGTGATTCAATTTTTAAGACATTAAGAAGGAAGGGGGGTGAATTAGTATCAAATTTTTGATATATGATTGACTTCCTTTTCAGTTAGCAAACTCTACATGGTTGCATAATTTGATTTCTGTGGCAGTAGAAGTTGGCCAACATGTGAAGCTTCTAACACCTTATGTGGTCTCAGATGTGTATTTAGAGTCTGAGTATCAACAAATTCATGAATGTGTTAAAGGATTACAAGCTCATTGGAATGAATTAGATGTCACTTTGATGAGTGATGGTTGGACCAACAGTTTGAATCAAATGCATATCATTAATTTTCTTATTTACTGTAGTAAATGGACCATTTTTTGAAAATCTATAGATATCTCAAGTATTCATAATATAGATGCAAACTTTTACTACATATTATTGGATAACACTATGGAAGAAATTAGGAAAAAATACATTGTTCAAATAGTCACTGATAATGAGGTAGCAATTAAGGTTGCAGGAAAAAGACTAATGGAGAAGAGAAAATATTTGTATTAGATAGCATGTTTAGCTCATTGTTTGGACTTGTGCCTTGAAGATATTGGTAAGAAAAAAAATATGGCAAAGGTTTTGGATGATGCAAAAAAAGTGACTTGTTTTATATACAATTACATTTGAATTGTTAATTTAATGAAGAAATATACACAAGGGAAACAAATACTTTATGCTGCTTTTACTTGATTTGCCATTCATTTTATACAGTTAGAAGAAATAATGAGGCAAAAGAAAGGTTTGAAAGAGATATTCAATTCAAATGTTAGTACTTAGTAATTAATATTACTATTTAAATCTAACATCTTTTTATGATGTGATTGTTTAAAATATTAATTTAAAATATATTACTTTAAAAATTTATTGATGAAAATATAGAAATTTAAAGAATCAAAATGGAGACAAGAAAAATCAGGCCTACTTATGAAGTCAAAAAAAATCATTTTGGGAAAAAAATTTTGAAAAAAAAGCAAGTGATATAATAAAAGTTTATGAGCTTTTAGTAAAAGTGTTACGCCTTGTGGATGGTGATGAAAAACCAACAATGGGCTTTATTTACGAGGTTGTGGATAGAGCTAAATAAGCAATTTAGTAAAATTATTGTTATTCTGTTGAATATGAAAAGATTAGCGATAATAGAAGGAGTTTCATGCACTCTGACTTGTATTTAGTTGGTAAGTAAACTAAGAATATAGATGGTATTTAAAAAAAAATGTTTATTTTTTACACTTAAATTGCTTATATAATATTTTTTATTACTTTAATATAATATTGTTATGAATTATGTTTAGGTTACTATCTAAATCCACAATTTCAATTTGGAGTCAAACATTTTGCAAATGTATTTAAAGAAACATTAAAAGGTATAAAAACAATTATGGAAATATTAGAACCTTTTATAGATACTCAAATTAGAATAATCAATTAGGTTAGTATTTAATATTATTTTATAACTTTGAAATTTATTTTATGTATTAAAAATAGAATTATTTTTATTTATTCATTTATTATTATATTTTTAATCAATGTAGTTGTTATTATTTCAAAACAAGTATGAACATTTGATACTTCCAGGTACAAAGAGCTTGGAAGCAAATGAATCTAAGTACATAGTAAATTAAATAATTATAATTTATTTATATTATTTAATTGTATAGCATATTCAAATTTAATTTAAATAATTTTATACAGCTGAGTAGTGAATGATATATGGCACTTGTGTTCCTGAATTACAAAAATTAGTAATCAAAGTGCTTAGTCAAACAATATTTGCATCAAATTGTGAACGTAATTGGAGCACATTTAGCTATATTCACACTAAAACAAGAAACAGATTGAAGTTTAAAAAACTTCAAAAACTTGCATACACCTATTACAACATGAGGCTAAAGATAAGACATCAAAAAAGAATAAGCATTGACAAGATAAATAATAGTTTTAATCTATTAACCTTGACTATATTTTTAAAGATGATGATCCACTAACAAAATGCTTGCAAAAGAAAAAAAATCATTAGTTTGATAGTCAAAACTCTGATTGGTTACCCACAGATAATTTTGATAATGAAATGAATGTTAAACAATCACATCAATCTTAAGAAAGGAATGTGTCTCATTCAAGTTCAAGTTCAAGTCTAACACCAAATTTGAATGATGATGGTAGGGGTTTAAATCCATATGATGATGATGGTGTTGGTGATGGTGATGGTGATGGTATAAATTTTTGTGGTAATATAGATGCAAATTAACCTTACAACCCACTTGGAGGATAACTTAGGCTTGTTGCTACTAGTGGACTTTTTATTAACATGGTAGAATATAGAATAAATCTATCTGATGAATATAGTGAGGGTCAAAGTGCATGTCTAGCTTGATAAAAAAAAAAACCCAAGAAGCATCACTATGATATTTTTAAATACTATTCATCATCAATAGGAGACCAAATTCTAGTAACTTTGAATATAGTGAATCATTTGCTAGTACTTAAGGACATTATTATCCACCGAAACAACATAATTTTCAACCTCCTCATTATTATTCACCTCTATATGGTTATTATCCACCACAAATGTATCCCCCACCTCAAATGTATCATTTACCACAAATTTATCCCCACCACAAATGTATCATCTTCATATATATCCTTAATCTCAAATGTATCAAGAATAAAGGCCACAGGGATGAGGATGGAGTCAACTTGGCTTTCAAAGTGAAGATAGAGAATTTGATTTTCTCATCATTTTACCATGTGATAAAATTTGAATATATATCAATAATTGTAGTTGATGAAATTTGAAATTATTATATTTTTAAATTTATAATTTTATTAAATATCGATGTTTGGTATTTAACATATTATGTTTTGTTAATATTTGATTTGTCTAGAATTAATCTTGAATATGAACTTGGCTCAAACAGAATTTTGTGGATAAACCAAATATTAATGCTTTATTATAATCTAAATAAAATTATGAATAATTTTTTAAAAAATAAAAAATAGTGTCATAAACTATTTTTAAAATCATTAAATAAGAGTTTTTATGGGAAAACACTTATTTACAGCTACTTGTAATCTGTATATTTATATTTGTATCCCTAGAATTAAGTATTTGTATCCTTAGAATTAAGGACAAAAAAATTAGGATAGACAATCTCTCAATTATAGGATTAGTTTTTTAGGAAGATTTAGTTTCCTAGTTTAACCCCTAGTTATATAAACCTAAGGTTTTTGTATAATTCTCAATTAGCAATTTTTCAATATACATTTAGTTTCTACATTGATTTATTTATTAGTTTTTTCACATGGTATCAGAGCTTTAGGCTCTTCTTGAGAAGTAAAATTTTTAGCCTTCATTGCTGACTTTTCTAGATCTTTATTGTCGAATCCTGTTTAGGCTTTCTTTGTCGAACCCTTTCAAAGAAAGATATCACTATCACCCAATTTGAGAAAATGTTAACTGAAAAAATCATTGGAGTACTACAGATGTCTCAGAAACAAGGAGAGTTCGACATGGAAAAGATTGAAAAGCTGAGAAATTTATTGAAAATCCTTGAAAAGCCTACTGTGGTATATTCTTTGGGTAAAGTTTTTAATTCAGGTAAGCTTTCGATTTTCATGGATTAAATGTCTCAGTTAAGCCTATTACGAGTTCTTGGATTATTGACTCAGGAGCCACAGACCACATGACACATTTCTCACAAAAGTTTAGTACATATAACATGTGTCATAGTAATAAGAAAATTATTGTTGCAGATGGTTCATTTACCACAGTG